AGTTCAGCATGATTGGACAAAGCACATTGAAGTGGATAAACACTTCATTAAAGAAAGGGTGACTTCTAGGGAAGTTTGTCTCCCATACATTGCTTCTGATTTGCAGCTTGTTGATGTTCTCACAAAAGGTGTTGCAAGGAACAAGCTGGAGCATGACTTACACAAGTTGGGAATGTGTGACATTTACTCCCAACTTGAGGGGGAGTGTTGAGTTGGGCCGATTTCTAGTTATTGGGCTCAGTTATTTATTTCTTATTTTTAAGTTGTTATGTTAGGAAGTTGTTGGGGGCTTTAGGCCCTTTAGTTTATGTTTTTTAAGTTGTGACTGTTCAGCTACTTAAGTAGCCGCCCTACTAAGGGCATTCTTGTAATCTCTTATTCTTTTAAGTTAAGTATATAATACAAAGAGGGGTTGGCGGCTAGAACTAATTCAATTCTGGTTGACATTCTACTCCTCTTTTCTTCTGCTTTGCTAAAACTCTTCACCTTCTTCTTTCTCTTCACAAGAAATTTATCTAAAACTGCAATCAGTGATTTCTACTGTTAGAATCCATCAGATGGATGGCTGAACCATGCAAGATGGCTGGCTGAAATTTTAAAAAAATTTTATAACCTTCTCAGGAACCAATTTCTCGGTAAATTGAAATCTGAAATTTTAGGATCGTTCTTGCATTGAACGGGACCAGGATCGTTCTTGCATTACTGAAAGCAAAAGCTCCCAAAGTGGTAGTTCACGCCCAATATCAGTCGCAAAACCATTCTCCAACTGAAGATGATGCAGTGTACAGAGAACCGATTTAGCAACACTTGTTTTCAACAAATCTGCTACCTAACTTGTTTGGATCGAGTGGGGTAATTGAGCCTGAATTTTTTTTTTGATTTTTTCTTTCAAAAACAAAGAAGAAAACTGATCAAAATCAGTTCTTGAAAGCCTAGGTCGTTCTAGGGTTTCTTGGGAGACGAGAGAAAAAAGAGAGAACAAGAAAGAGAGGTGTCCAAGTCTAGTTCACCCTCTTCTTTTATCTCTTAACGGAGCACTCTCCTAATCTAATTAGGAGATTATCCAAATCTGAATTAGATCTGGACTCTTTTAACAATTAAACATTATCCTCTTAAGTTATTTCTCATTTTCTCCCATCTCCTATTTCACTCCCCTCCTTAAGTTGGGACTTTGTCTTTCGGAGAGGCTTGAGAGAAGATGAACTTAACAGTGTTTCAGATCTGTTGTCCCTTCTTGGCCATGTCTTTTTGGACCCCCTTAGTTTGGATGTGAGATTATGGTCCCCTCACCCAAAAGGTTACTTCACCTGTGCTTCCTTTTTTAAATCCCTTTGCTCTTCCTAGGGATAGTGGGGTTTTCCAACCAAGGAGATTTGGCCTAGACCGGTTCCACCTAAAGTTATTATTTTCTGCTGGAAGTTTTTCTGTAGAAAGATTAATACCTTGGACTGCTTGCAGAGGAAAAGACCTTCTTTGTGTTTGTCCCCTAACTGGTGTGTACTTTGCAGGGCTAGTGGTGAGGATTGCTCTCACTTACTTGTATCTTGTTCCTTTTCTAGTGCTATTTGGAGTTGGATTTTCGCTTTGTTTGGGTGCAGGTGGAATTTGCCTGTAGATTTAAGTCAGTTGTTCGATCCTTCCTTTTTTGTGTGGCCTACAAAAAAAGGAAAAATAATGCGGAGATGTATTAGAGCAGTTGCACTGTGGACAATCTGGGAAGAAACGAATGCAAGGGTATTTAAGGAAGAGGAAAAAAGCACTCAAGCTGTTGAGGACTGTATCTTAACTAGGGCTATTCATTGGTTAGTGTTAGCATAGGGGTATTTCTATCTTTATACCTAGATTAATGTTGCTGATCTGTAATGTTGTGTTGGAACCAGTGCTCCTAACTTAAATAAGGGCACATATGTCTTTTTACTTATTTTTAATAATATAAGTACTGTCTGGCCGACTAGGAGTTGGTCATGTTGAGACTTCCAGTTCGAACTAGAATTTCTCCCTTCTCTCTTTCTCTCTTTCTTCCACCTTTCTATCTCTTTCTACCTAACCGATCTCAAACAGATAAAAATTCTAAGGCAGGCTGAATCATAACAGTTAAGAACTATGGACTTATTTCATGCATTCTCCTTTGATGATTTTTGGAGAAACTAGATAGCGGTGGCAAACAACCATACAAGGAAGGACAGGAAATCTGTAGTGTGGATGCCTCCACCTAAAGGATGGGTAAAGCTGAATTTTGATGGAAGCAGCCAAGGAAACCCAAGCCAATTGGGGATAGGAGGGGTGCTGAGAGATAATGAAAGCAAAATATTAGCATTGTTTTTAGGGCCCCGTGGGAATAGGAGACTCCGATAGAGATGAGATGTTATGGCGGTACTAGTTATTCAGATTGTATAACAATTAGGAGTCTAGTACTTGGTAGTTGAAGGGGACTCTGAGATTGTTGTGGGATGGCTGATAGAACCAGCTTCAGCTATGTGGCGACATAGAGATATGTTAAGGAAAGTCAATTGGATCACAAGATACATGACTGTTACCTTTCTTTGGGTGGGAAGATCAGCAAATTCTTTAGCGGATGGGTTAGCTTAGGAAGGGGCTTCAAGGGAACATTTATTTTGCGCTGCTTTGTAATTTTAGTTCTGGTTAATTCTGGTCAACTTTGTTTTAATTTGATGTAATACTTGTTAGAAGAGGTAACAACTCGTGCCTCCTCTTGGGTCTACTGTATTGCTTCATATTTCTAATTTAATAAATTATATTCATTCATAAAAAAAGCATTATCCTCTTAAGAGGATAAGTGCTCCCTCTTAAGTTTTCATGTGACATCTTAATTAATCTTATCAATTTTGGGCCTTTGGCCCATTTTCTTCAAAGGCTCACGACCCTAGGTGTTGCATGGCCACTTTAGGCTTGATATTGTATGGCGTGGGACCCCATAAAAGTCTTCTTCAAGTCCATAATGGTCCAACCCCACCTCTAAAAGAGGTTAGGTCGAATTCACTACTCAAAGCAATGAACCCCTGAGCTAATCAACATGGGCTCAGTCTAGGCCCAACATTTACCCTTAAATGATCCTTGGATTCAGCCACCCTATGAAGACCCAAGGATAATGGACTTAAGTGAGATAAAACCCATCAGACAATCAGCCCTATAATGGTCTCTTACACTTAACTTCTCTGGCCATATTGATCACAACACTGCCCGACGAGGAAGGACCTCTCCCCTGGTTGCAAGTGCAGTGCCACACTCTCTACTCGGATGGATCCCAAGAAGTAAAACCTTTTGCAAACATTTTTCATAAAATAGTAGTATATAACATATAAATACATTTTCAAAAATAGATTTCAAACACAGTTGAAATCTATTGCCATTAGTTTAGGTTTCCATCGGAGAGAGTGTAAACCCTAATATTCACTTTGTCTGACTAAGAGGCTGGTCCTATCACTATGATCACCCACTCATGTAAATTCCCAAACTGCTCCAACATGCCTAGGTGTTGACTCTTGATGGATCTCGCTGATTGGCACGTCAAAGACAGCCCAATCCAACACCTAGTATAGTACCATAATCAAGTCTGCGATTATGTGTAACTTTCCAGTTTTGCCCATCTATCTCCAAGGTTCAGGGCATAATTGGAAATTAGTCTAGGTTCAATATTTCTTCTAAACACACACTACCTGTGCTTGGGGTCTAACCCCAGCAGCTGAGACAAGCTTCTCCAACTGTTGGGCAGCACACCAATGTCAGCCTTGGCAGGATAAACTTACCAAGTCTATCCAACAGCTGAGAACATTCTAAACTAACACAAGTCGAATAAGTGTCCAGTTAAGGGGTAGTTTACAGAAAACATACCAATATGAATATGAAACAATAATGTACTTTTATTCATTTACAAATAAATGTTCATGTACATCAGTCCAATTGGAGCTAAGGGCATATATTATTTGACACTACCAAGGAAAAAGGAAGTGGCTAGAAAAATTAGAGAGGAAGAACCCACTAAAAAGAACTTGGTAGTAATGGGAAAGGGAAGTAGAAGTTATAGTTTGAACATGAGATTGCTAAGTATCAGCTTGTATATGTGATGGGCAATGTGAAGCTATTGGTAAAATTGCAATACATCTTCCTAGGACAGAAGTGCGATATGATCCCACTGTGACAAAGATCTGGGGCGTGATGCGTTGTCATAGAGTTTTTGTCAATGGTGAAGACTGTAATAAGGAAATATAGTGGATGTGTTGAGGGCTTCATTGAAAGACTTAGTGATGAACAGTTGAGCATGAGGTGGGATGCGGTTGCGAAATGTGACTGTGGATCGAGGCCATGGGTAAACAGTGAGGTGACTGTAAAATGTGGCCATGGAGCAAGGTTCCGGGATTGTGATGCAAGAGTGTGGTATGAAACTGTGATAAGGAATTACGGTGCGAAGTAATATTATGGGAATTTGCTTCAAGAAAGATTGAAGTATGCGATTGTGATGTGAATTTGTGAGACAGTTGCTCTGTGTTTTTTGTGCTATTGTGTTGTGATGCAATGTCTAAATACATGTACTTACAGAACCTATGTAGAAGTTAAAGTTTGTGGTTCTATTAGACTGTAAGAATGTCAGTAATGTGAGAAGTATCCCTAAATATCTTGTGATATTTGTTTTATAGATAGTTTCATGCAAAAACTATCCCCATCTATTTTTATGATATTCCTTTTATAGATAGTTTCCTGATTGGCTATACTAGCTTCCAGGGGACAGTGATTTGTTTTATGATGCTTTAGGGGGTAGTTGTTTGAGGTATCTATTTATCTATCTGTTATTTGTTCTGTATGTTTTATCTGTTGATTACTTTTTGTTATTATGTGCAGTATCATGTAGCAGTAACATTCTATGTAATTTTTGTTGGGCTTAATGCTCCATATCTCGTCTGATTTGCCTTTGCACTAATATGCATCTTCTAATAGACTTTCTGGTGCATGATGTTCAACTGAAAGTTCTACTTTATTTGCAGATTTATATGGTACCCATGCCTCCCAGAAAGGGTATTCACAGAGAAAATCAACAGAGTTTGAATCATCACCTACAGGCATCTCAAGAAATAATAAGGAGAATCTTATGCCAGACCGAAGCCAGAAACCTCCCATGCATTGCTTTCTTTTTGGTGCAGATTTTGTATCTGTGGATGCCTGTGGGAGGGTTTCCATTGTATGTGTCCCTACCCTTCCTTTTATGCGAGAAACTTCACCTTATCGGAATGCTCCATCAGACAGTAGAGAGCTATTGAAATGTATGAAGCAAGATTCTTGTTCTTTAAGGAAATCAAACGAAGATTACAATGGGATAAATGTGAAGTATAATGCAGAATTATCAAATTCTCCTAGAACAAAACTTAGAAGCGAGAATTCTATATTAAATTCTACTTTTTGCAATCTTGCTGCCCATGAAGAGCACTCAATACATGGAACTGAGAGAACCATTCTCCAGACTCCAATTTCATGTAGAAATAAAAAAAGTTCAGACAACACCACTATTGTAGGATGTGCTAATACAAGAACGAATGCACAAACTTTGCTGGCTAAAGAGTCTAACAGTGATTTCAGAGATGTGGAGCTCAGCCCTAGGCTAACTAATTTGATGGAGAGAGGCATTGTTCCGGAGTCCCCTATTGGTGAATTTAGTCATTGTTCTAATCAAAAGGATTATGTGCTTCATATAGATTTTAAGTCTGATAATGAGAAATGTGAACCAAGACCTGGCCGTCTTATGGATATAGAAGAAAGTAAAGTGCCCATCAATGAGACATTTCATTCTGTGTTTAACTCTGAGGGTAGGAGTAAGGTTCTTTATCCAGCACAGATTTCACCTGCAAAAATGTCTACTAGTCAGTCATCAAAGAGATTTTTGGAGAAGAATGTAAATACCAATGTCAGCAATATAGAGAGTGCAATGGCTTGTTTCCCTGCTTCTCCCATGGATGAGGAAATTCACACTCCATGTATCAAGACGAGCAGTGGTGTTAATGCAAAAGAACGCATCTCTCATTCCCCAGTCAATGTTTCACCTGCTAAATTATGTACTATCTTGTCACCAAAGAGATTATGTTTGCAGAAGATTGAAGAAGTTAAGATGAACAACATTGGCAGTGCAACTGACCATGTCCCTAATTCTCCCATTGATGAAGAAACTCATACTCCATTGATAGAGATGAATAATAATGTCAATGGAAGGGAATGCATCTCTAGTTCTCCACTCATTGAGGAAACTCACACTCCGTTAGTCAATCTAACAAACAGCTGTAGTAAAGACTGGCGCATGAGTTCTGGGGAGACATCAAAAACAGTTCAGCAGAATCACAAGTTTAAAAGATTGCGCAAGTATGGGGATTGTGAAAAAAGAACTACAAGGATAATGAAGGAGAATTTATGCGGTCCTATAGCAAACCTTGACAGATCCTTTTCCAATGAAACATGCATCAGGGTAAAGGGTACCAGAGGTAAAATCTAGTTCTTTAATGCTTTGTTTTTTTTTGACATTTCTTTAATTCTTTGTTTTTCTGTAATCCTTCCGATTTGGTCTAATCACTGGTAAAATTTCTACACTTTTAGTTTCATGCTTCTCCAAATTCTGTAGTTCATCTCATCCTTTTTTCTTGAGATGCCATCATTGTAATGCTAGAAGGGCATAGAGTTTGAATTTACATAATCACTATTATTTTTCGTAGAACTAGTTGCTATTTTATGATGTATTTGGCATTACTAGGCTGCTGTTGTTGTGTTCAGGTAAGCAGAAGGAGCCTGTAATCCATGTCAAAGACTTTATTGAAGAGGAAGCTGAGTAAGAGCTATATTAGATGATCACCTTAGATTTTTTTCATTCAAATAAAACCTTTTCTTTCTATCCTTGTCCCTTTCTATTTCTGTCTTGTAGTTTTCTGAATAATGTGTGGGAAAATTTTATTTATATTTCTTTTTTTATATGGATTGGGGGGTGGACTGGGGTTTGTAGTTTTAAGAAAGGATGTAGGAACTTGTTTGCTTCAACATGATAAAATTGTATTCCTTATTAGAGCTCTAATTTGATTGGTTGTTTTTAGGGTATCTTCAGAGGCAGAAGTATCTGATGATGAGGAAGATGACCGGGAGAACAGCTCTTATGGTGATAGTTTCATAGATGACAGATTAAATCCTACTGCAGGAAGTACTCAAGCAGAACCTAGTGCAAGTGCCATGATGGCAATTTACAGGTTTGTTAAAGTGAAGTTTTATTCTTCCCGTTTTATTCTTATTGATTAATGATGTCCTTATTTTGCTACATGTTCTTCCATGTAGACATGTTTCACTATTAGTTTATGTGTCATTCAAGTGCATGCTTATATATGGCACACAAGAAAACTTTTTTTAACTGCAAGAGGAGTTAAACACGATCTTCCTTGTAAGAAGTGTCAGAAATAAGGCCTCAATGGGAGGGACCTCTATATGTAAAGCTGGAGGGCTGGTCAAGGGCATTTGAGTAGATGGGCTGGTGGTGCCCCTTGTGTTATTTATAATGGAGGGATTAAAGAGATAAAATTACAAGAGTGTCCCTTGTGGCACAAACTAAAAATTGACAAAAGAAAATAACAAGCTCACAGCATACTAACAACACATGTCAAAACCAAACCAGTGTCATAAGTTTGGTGAAGATTAAGAAAAGGAATCTTATGTGGATGATGATGATGTAGCCTTGAACTATGGAGATCATTGGATTCTTGATTCTCCTTGGAAACATCAGCTCCCTGATGCAGCTTCATTAGAGGCATGATGGTAGTTTTCAGTTGGAGTTCGTCAAACTTGGAACAATAAAGCAAATAAAAATGTAGAGAAGAGAAGAAAGAGTTTCAAAGTTGTGAAGAAGCAGTAGGGAGGAGAGAAAGGTCTTGTTTTATTGTAAAAGAATGCAGATCTGTGGGTTGTACATCCACGTTTGACTCTATATGTGCTTAACCCACTAAATATAAAAAAACATAGACTTGCCTGTCAGGCTCAGCCCTAAGGTTTAAAATGTCAGTGTGTGGAAATGTCAGTTGTCTAAATATAAGAAACAAGTCGGAAATGTCAGAAATATCATATGAAAATATTGTAAGCATAGTTTTCAAGGCGCCAAGGCGAGGCTAGGCGATAGGGGGGGNAACATGTATCCTATGGTAGTTCCCTAGGTTCCATAATCATATTTCCTTAATAAATATCCATAATTTTCATAAGAAAAGTATAAACTTCATGTTAAAGTATAGAAAATCAACATATTCCAATATTCATGAGAAGAAAAGAAGAAAGAAAAGAAAATAAAAAAAAAATATAGGGGCTGAACCCCTATTTCTGTTATAGGAAAAGAAGAAAAGGTGGAAGAAGAAATTAGTATATAAACATACAAAATTAGTAAATAAAAATAAGAAAATGTGTTGATTAGACAATGTTTTATGTTCTTCTTCGCTTATTGGTTCAGGTTTTGAAGTCTTTGAGGGTTCAATACAGCATTTAGCAATGTTTGTGTTGATTAAACCCTAACAAATAAGAAAATAATAAAAAGAAATTGGTATATAAAAGTTTTTATAACATGCTATAGAAAATTACTTGGCGATTAGGCGAAGCGAGCCTCCAAGGGTGCCTTGTTGCCTAGGTGTCGGCTTGACAACTATGATTGTAAGAAATATAGACGTGGTGGAAACATAGTAAAAGATATGGAAAATATAGAATGATATTTTATGAAATGATAAAAGAAGCATAGGAACACCTTTTTAAATTATTGTCTTGTTCCAAATCATTAAAAAGCTATGAATCTAAGGCTATAGATAAAACAATATGTTTTGAAGTTGCCTTGTAAACCATATGATTTAGAGCTTCATGATAGAATGAACTTGAGCAAAATTTAACTCATAGAAAATGTAAATAGATCAACCAAAAAATCTATTATATAAACAAAGAACTAAAATTTAGCTTGATGTTTGAAGTGAATATTGAGCTAGCTCAAAGTGGTGATCATGTAAGTTAAGCGGGCAATAACATTTTTACTCCATACATCCACAATATTGTCATCAACTTATGTTGTAAACTTATAATACCATCTCTTTTACTCTACATTGTGATGGTAGTGCTCACTGGGGAATATGTTGATTCTAGTAAGATTTCATGTCTAACCATGGAAGTGGAAAAGGAAATATGTCATAGAAACTACCTCTTGTACTCCACATAGTGCTGGTAGTGTTCATTGGGGAATATGTCGATTTAGGTAAACTTTCATGTTGCTACGCAAAGAAATGGAAATATGTTGTGGAAATATTCAGGAAATTTGGGACATTTTAAACCATGCAGCTCCTAATTATCCGTACCTACAATTGGTTGATATACCTTTATTGGTGGGAATCTTTTTACTTGAAGAAGCAAGAAACAATTGTGGTGAGATGAAATGCTGAACCAGAACACAAAGTTGTGGCTCATGGAGTGGCTAAATTATTATAGCTTCATATCTTAGGCAAGTTAACGGCCCTCTTAAGTTGTATTGTGACAATCTAGTTGCTATAAACATAGCAAAAAACCTAGTACAACATGACAAGACCAAACATATTGAGATAGATTGTCACTTTGTAAAAGAGCAGTTTTTGGTGTTCTTTGTGCACCTTAAACACCCATAGGGAGAAGCTAGATGATATATTTATCAGACCTATTCATGGGCCTAGCTAGGCCGGGCTAGGCTTTTACTCTTTATCAACATAATATTTTCAGGCTTGGGCCCAAGCCTGGCCCTCATAAAAGCTCTAAGCCCAATAAATTGGAATTTTTTAGCACCTGTAGTTGTAAATTGGAATTGGGCACGTAGGAATGTTTTAGCACTTGTAGCTTGGATCTCCCTGTGATTTATTCAAAAGAAATCCCTATTTTAAATAATGAAAGAGAGAAAAGAAAAGCTAAACAAATATATTATTCTATGGGCTAAAACCCATTGAAGGGCCATTTTAAGTTCTAACATTCTTTCCAATTCCATACAAAGGTAAATTGGAAAACACACAATGATGAAGGAAGGTGAAATCCATCATATGGATGGCAGAATCATGCTTGATGGTTGGGCGAAATTTCAAAAATTTTCTTTTAGCCTTTTGGGAATCGCATTCCCAGTTTTAGGAAAACTGCATTTTTCTAGGATCGACCTTGCACCGAAACCGGACCAGATTTGAAACCAAACAAGAGGGAGAAGTATACCTGATACGGATTCCACAAATGCAGCTCCCAAAGTGGTATTTCACGCCCAAATCAAAGCCCAAAACCAACTTCCACAGAAGATGGTGCAACTTGGAGTGAAACCGGTTCAGCAACGCAGTTTTCAACAAAACTGCAATCCAACTTTTTGGATCAAACAAGGGAGGTGAGCATGGTTTTTCTCTGTGTTTTTCTTGCAAAAATCAGAGGTAGAGCTGATCAAGATCAGTCCCAAGAATAGATCGAACTAGGGTTTCTGGGGCGGCAAGAGAGCAAAGAGAGAGAGAGCTGAAAGCAGAGTTAATTGAAGCAGTTCGATCTCTCTTTTCTTAATCCTTAAGGAGCACCACTCCTAATCGAATTAGGAGGTTTCTAATCCAAATCTTTATTTGGATTTGGACTCTATCAGTGGATAGGTCTTATCCTCTTATGAGAATGGGTGCTCCAGACCCATATCCAAACCCATATTCGCACGTCAAATGATTGCTTAAGCTATCATGTGACATTTTGATTAATCATATTAATCATGGGCCTTAGGCCCATTAAGTGGCTCACGTCCCAAGAGAGTTGTTGGCCCATTTAGGTTTGATTTGTATAGCGTGGGACCCCGACAATGACCTCACATTAGCCCACATGGGTTTGGCCCAGTGTCTACAAACGACCTGGCCGAATTCACTACCAAATGCAGTGAACCCCTGAGTCCATCACTATGGGCTCAAAATGGGCCCAACATTTACAGTTAAATGATCTTTGAGTCTAGCCATCCTATGAAGGCCCAAGGATAATGGACTTAAGTAAGATATAGCCCATCAGGTAAACAACCCTTAATGGTTTCTTACACTTAACCTCTCAGCCCTCAATTATCAAACACTGCCCGACAGGAAAGGACCTCTCCCCTGACTACAAGGTACAGTGTTGCACTCTCTACTCGGATGGATCATAAGAATTAAAACCTTTTGCAAACACTTTTCTTGAAACATAATATATATATATATTGCAAAACAAACCTCAAACACGGTTGAAATCCACTACCAACAGTTTTAGTTTCCATCAAAGAGAGTACAGTCCCGATCATTCACTTTGTCTGACAAAGGGGCTGATCCTATCACTATGATCACCCACTCAAGTGAATTCTCAAACCCCCAAAGGATCTCACTGATTGGCATATCAAAGACAGCTCAATCTGACGCCCAGTGCAATACCATAATCAAGTCTAGGGGTTGTGTGTAACTTTGTAGTTTTGCCCGTCAATCTCCAAGGTCCCGGGCATTATTGGAAAATGGTCTGGGTTTAGTGTTTCAATCAAATGCACACTACATGTGCTTCGGGTCTAACCCTAGTAGTTGAGACAAGCTACCCAACTTCTTTGACAGCACATTAGTGTCAGCCTTGGCAGGATAAACTCCCCAAGTCTACCCAATGGCTGAGGACATTCTAAACTAACACGAGTCTCATAAGCATCCGGTTTAAGGGGTAATTACACAGAAACATACCAATAACAACATGAAACAATAATGTACTTTTATTCATTTACAATAAATGTTTCTGTACATCAAAGTGATTGGAGCTATAGGGGGTTCTCGAAGCGCCCAATTGGGAAGATAGCCATTATTGTTGACCTATGCCTGATACTAGATGAATTCTTTGATAATTCTTATTTGTTTTCTCTGTTGCTGTCACATTATCGCACATTTATGATTCATGAAATGAAGAATTTGACCCTATTTTCCTTGAAACTGTTGGCACAAATATATTTTCATAAACATGGGCATAGATTTATTACTTTTCACTACTTATGGTTGTTTTGTCCTCTCAGAAGTCGTCATTCTTAGTTCTGACTTTAGCGTGTAGGTAAATTTGTACATATCTATTTTGGATCTGATGAAGCTTTTTGTAACAGGCGTTCTTTGCTTAGCCAGTCACCAGCAGAGGATCAACCAAACTTTTTGACTGACTTAAGCCCCCCCAGAAGAACAGCTGAATCTAAAAATTCTTCAGGAAAGATAAGTTGTTCTATTCAGACACCTCAAACTGTCCTACATTCTTCAAATAAATCTTCTGGGAGGAATTCAATTTCGTGTCAGATGGGTCAGGGTACCATCTCTCTACTAGCATTGCCTGCCGAACCCAATGGCTTCCTGAGAGAAGAAAGCAAATTAGAGAGTAGAAAAAGGAAGCTAAGCTTTCATCATATTGGATCTATTCCTGCAACTTGCTTGGTGCAAGAATGTTCACTTCAGCTTGGCTCTATGGGAGAGGAATCCTTTCAGTGTCAAGCTGAGAACAGTGAAGTGAACAGGGATGAATTTTATGACGATCAATTTTATGAGGGTCTTGATCTTGATGCAGTAGAGGCACAAGCTACCAAGCTTCTTAGGAACAAGACTGAATTGGCAAGAGAGCAAAACGAAACAGTTGTTCCAAATCCTTCCGCAGAGGGAAATCTTGGGCTTTTGAATTCTCCGTCATTTGATCTTGGGATATGATGAATGGATTATTGGATATCCTAGAAATGGTTTGGAGAATTTCTATTATAACCCTTAAAAGGTTTGGCACCACGTGGTACTGCTCAAACGAATCTAACAAAGTAACAATGTGAGCTTCCATTGACAGCATTTAGCTGGCATTAGATTAATTGCCAAGTTGTATTTTGGGTTAATCAACACTTTTAGAGGTAGACTTGCGTCTGAAGCCCATTCATTATAAGCTTCTCAGAGGTGCAGAGTTAGATCTATCTCTTGTAGATTGTGAGTGCATCCAGGTTAACAAGAAAAATATATTTATCTTTGCATATACCCACTACGCTGGGGATTGTATATGTAAGTTATAAGATTATTTTGTACAAGGATGATAGAGCTTGCTGAATGCAAGAATGTAAATTGCAATTGTACAGAAATTTTGATAAGGTAATGTTGTGTACTTAGTGTACTGATACGGTTATAACATTAGAAAATGGGCTTTTCCTTTTGCCACACCTTTCCTATTCTCAAATCTCAACTGGCCATTTCATTTTCTTTTCTTTTTTTCTTTATATTGCTTGGCATATAAGGACCAGCACCAGTGGCATATTGCATACAAGTGGCAATCCTTTCGAATGGTACTTCGCATTTTTGGAACAAAAATTTGTATGCAGCAAGAACGTGATGGGCATCGTAGGTCGTAGCTGTTTATGCATAACTTGGGAAGAGTACAAATACAAATATAAGGTTTTGCACTGTATATTTGTATTTGTACTCTTCCCAGACACAGCCTTGGAGGCATTTTAAAAACTCAGAGACTAAATGAACTTGAACCTTTGATTAGACGTTCATTCAAAGGTTTTGCACTGTATATTTGTATTTGTACTCTTCCCAGAGCCATTTTCTCAGAGATTAGACGTTCATTCAGTGCAAATAAACACCCCGGAAGTATTATCCCCATCATGAGTTGGGATTACTTGTGTATTCTGTGTGACCTGTTTTCGCATCTTAAGTAATGCCCTTTCTCACTTGGAGTTTCAACGATATCAAACAGTAGGAACCCTCTGGCATCATTCTTTCCCGTTCTCTTCTCCCCCAAGCTGTCCATTGGATCCTACGGGTCTCCAATTCTCTCTTTTTCTTTGTTTCCACTACTTGAAGAAAACTGGATACGTGGAAAACAAGGGGAAAAGGGGGAATGTGTTACTACTAGAACCGGTTGGACATATGGTGACTCATCCTTGCCAGAGAATATTCTAATTATTGTAATAATCATCAATATCAATACACCCGATACGCCGGCAGGGGCGTATTGGGCGATCGATACCCTTTTCTTTTACCGTTTTTTCTTTTTTTGGAAACCAGTTCAGGGGGGTGGTTTAGGGCTTCTCCACCCCCTGACCAGTCAGATTCCCGATACATCCACTATAGGGGAGTATTGAAGGGGTCCCAGAACGATATGTATCGGCCGATATGTGTCGATACTTTGAACCTTGATAATCATGCATGATGGGCTGTTACGACTGTGTAGGTGATGGAGGGAAGGTGCCTAAAGGCTCTGCTCCTTCCCATCTTTGGGGGACCATCTAGATAACTGAATGTGTGGCTTCCCCAAACCTGCTCTGAACCCCGATCTGTAGTAAAAAAACCCACCCCAAAGGATGTCTATCAGTATTTCGAGAAACAGGAAATACTACAAGACCAATGGGTCCTAGTAGCTTGTCTAGGTTTCGAAGGCATGGTGGTGGAGTGGCATTATTGGTTCAAGGACCACCACCCCCAACTAGATTGGAACTAGTTCATGAACACTTAGGATAACCATTCAACGGGCTTTAGGGACCAACATTTCCGAATGCTTCTCTAAATTGATGCAGATAGCAATTTTTAGAACTACATGGAGGAGTTCCAAAGAATGTCGAGTCGGATTAAGGGCCTGTCGGAGGAATATTTGGCATGTTTCTTTGTGGCGGGTTTGAAGGCTGAAATTAGAGTGGGAGTAGAGATGTTTAAGCATACTCCAATCACTTGGGCTTTTTGCTTAGCTTTGCTCAAGGGAGAGAACTGAATTTAGAAGTGACACCTAGTTGAGGGTTAAGCCCTACAAAGGCCAAGTCAACAACAACCACTGCTAACACCATTGATAACCAAGCCCACTCAACCAATTCCACATAGAGGTGAGCAAATGGTAGGTTCTACCTTGAACCAACCCTACCCAATCTATTACTTGGTAAGGCCTGGTTGCAAATTGTTGGAACCAATCCGAATCGATTCAAAGAACTGACCTTGGAACTGAATTTGTTTAGAAATAAATCCCCAAATACTTTGAGAATGTCAAGATTTGGACCCAAGCACTTATGGTTACAAAGAACATATTCTCACTTAACCATTGAACCATTAATATTTGAATGTGTAAAAAGTAATGTAAAATTGTAATACTTACGGATTTCAAAAAAAAGTAATGCTTACAAAATTTAAATTATAATGATAGTTTTGAAATTTATTATTATTATTGTTGTTTAGGGGGAATAAAGAAATAATGGTTTCCACAAGTAGACCCTGTAATTGTTCTTGATAGGGCAGGTTCTAGGTTATGCCTTGGAACTGAACTGAATCGAACTGACCCATATTCACCCCTAGTTCCATAGACAAAATGCCCAAAGTCAGGTGATTGATGCCAACAAAAGCTCGGGAGTAGCGAGGAAGGGGACTCTATTATAATTGTGATAAGAAAAATATGCCATAACACAAATACAAGAAGCAGAAAAAATATGCCATAACACAAATACAAGAAGCAGAAGCTCTTCTGGATTATAGGGGCCGCTAAGGATGAAGACTCTGAACTAAAGACTAATCAAGAAGGTTAGGAAGCTAAGAAGATGCTTCCCTTAAAATCTCTTTCCGCACCATTATAGGAGCCAACTCGCCACGAACAACGAGGATCTAGGGATACCTTCATGAGCAACCCCAAACAATCTTCATGGATAATGGATATGCTCATCATGATTTTTTTGGATCCCATGATCATTGAGAGGGTTGGACTCCCAGTAGATGCTAAGGTCTGTTTCACGGTGTAAGTTGCTAGAAGAAAACGACCTTAGGTATTGTGATTCAGACCAACTTCCACATACTTCCTTTACATATTCTCAGGTCACATGGGACGAGAACTATTAGCCATATGCTTTGAGACTCTGCAGCATTATCTTTGCAATATTGGGCAGCTTGTGTGTTCATTTGCTGAAGGGAATAAAGAAACCTAGGGTATTATTGTTGTTTAGGCTTGTCAGGATTGCCCGGCCTCTTACTCAATTACTCGAGAAGAGGGTGAGGAATTAGGAGGAAGAAGCAGAGGAAGCATTCCAAGAATTGAAGATGGTTCTAACTGCTACCCTGGTCCTGGCTATTACAGACTTTATTCAGTTGTTTATATTGGAGAGTGGTGCTAGCGAATAGGGTATTGGGACAATTACAGTGGAGAACAATCACATTTTATAGTAAAGCTCTATAAAGTCGAGCCTTGGACATGTCAACCTATGACTGTGAGCTACTAGCGATTGTCTCAACTATTCAACAATGGTGACCTTGTTGGCCCTATGTGTTTTGATGATAACAAACTCATTAAGAGTACTAATGGTGTAAATAAGTACGTGGTTATCTTTAATAAGCTTCTTTTTCCCTAAACTGAATTAAAACTAATATGCTATCAAAGATGAAGTGAAAGCTTTATTGATTCAACTACGTGAGCCTTGTAATTTCATCATCATCACCACATCTCTCCAACTAAAGAAGCTCTAAGTAATTCAAAAATAAGGCTACTTAAGAATTGAATGAATTGGTGTTGTTCTAAATGACTAACTGCTACAACAACTCATGGAGGAGAAGACTACATCATGTTGTGATCAAATTATGTCAGTTTTTAGGATCTTGATGTAATCAGTTGCACTCTCTTAATGCTTAACAAGATTGGAGTCAGTTTAGGCAACCTTAGAGACCAATGGATAGAATATGTTTAGTTCCTAGGCTTTCCTAAACTTAAACAAGTAATTATAATCTAAAAAATATATTTTGAAAGCCAATGGAAGAGATCTTACCACTTTGGATGAGAATGTCCAAGGTTTCTAAGTATTGGGTTGTCTACTGGGCAAGATTGCCCATGCTCTATAGTATAGTTGACTACTTGGAATTGTATAGTTAACTAACTATATAGCCAAGACATGAATAGCCTAACTATAAGATATAGTCAACTACCCTAAAAGATATAGTCACCTAACTATGACAGTTGAGGTAAAAAATGCTAGGACTATGAGACAAAGTCGACTACTCTAAAAGACATAGTTGACTAACTATAACAACCAAGGTATAGATATGCCCTATCTGAGAGTAGTCAACTATCCAAAAATGCATAGTGGACTAACCTAGACAGACCGAGTTCAAAATTATATTAGTTAGCTTATATAAAGGAGTTTGCCAATTGAAAGAGAAAAAAATCCTCTCTTCATCAAGCAAATGACTGGCAATTTTTATAGTCGACTACATCAAAGGAAATTGATCGTTTGAATGCTTAAATGGATATTACCATCTATGATAAGCCTTTTGACATGTTGGAGCAAATTTGATCATTTATAAGAATATCAAAATCTTTCCAATGGCTAGAAAATAGTCACTTGATCTCAAATCCTCTATAAATAGAGGAGTTTAACTTGATTTAAAAGAAGTAAAAGAGAGCAAGTTACTAAGATCTATTTTTGTTGAATAAATTCTTGGGATTCAATAGTGTAAGTGATGATAAAAGTTAATATTTTTAAAACCGACCCCGAGGCTGAATCATTTTTGCCTTTGGGTTGTGGTTCGACCGGTCTGGTCGAACGATTCAGACTGTGCCACGTCAACGAATATATGAATTAGGTATATATATACATACATACATACATATAAATATATATTTTAGTAATAAATAATGTATAAATATGCTTTGGATATGTTATATATATTATTTATATTTAATTTATGTTTTTTCATATAGTTTTAATTTTTTATTTATAAAAAATATTAAAAATTGCAATTTGAGGCCAAAAAAGGGATTTTCGTGAAAATAGTGGGGCAAGGCACCTATAGCTCCTTGGGACGCATAGATCTCAAAAAGTTACCCCAAATAAAAAAAGCAATCACCCCAATCGGACATTAGAGTGCAAAGTTATGGCCTCTGAAAGTTTGCATGCATTGAGTGTGCAACCATGACCCAGTCACTAGGTCAAATGGGTCAATGGTAGAATCAGTCGGGTCAAACAGTTCTTAATCAAGTCAATAGTTTTTGACCAATTGGCGGGTCTTGACTGAACTAGACGTGAAATCCTGTTTGGGTGGCAGTTCAAACGGTTTGACCAATTGGGTCATCGACGAGTTGAAAACATTGATAAAAGTTGATAAGGTTTTGAACTTGTACAATCTCACCCATCTATTGCGGGTCTCTTCACTAAGCTAAGCATCTGAGCATAACTCTTGCAATTGAGT